ACCAAAACTTGTCAAAACCAATGCCGGATTGGGAATTTAGTTTTGTTGACATAACATTGCTAAAAGAGGTAAAATGATATATATACAAGGTTGAAAACTAAAACAATTGTTATAATACCGGATTTTTCAACTTTTTGTCATTATCAGGGTTAAAGCCGTCCCAGATTGTCCATATTTTTATACTTGCGCAATTCCCGCAATTAATTTGTTTGTTCAAAGTTTGACAATTACATGTAACCCCTAGACAATCTTTCTCCTGAAGTATGATCTTAGAAAACAAAGGACACTGGAGTGTCTGATTTGGTTTTTCAGAAGGTCACGTGCTGAGCTGGTCCGAGTTGTGGCAGTTATTCGCACTTCAAGATTTCGCATCCAAGTTGTTTCACCCACATAGTTTTTTCCAAACGAGCATTCTCCTTCGAATTATGAGACTTATGAACATTTTTGCCCTTGAGACTGAATAATTTTGGGTTTCAGCTTTCTTTTTTTCAGCTTTTATGAAAGTGATAGACCAACCGAGTGTTGAGGTGGTTAGAGGCAGTCTCAACTCTTGTTTTTTTATCCCAATAGTGATTTAGTTACATTTATTTCCTAGTGTTTTTTCTTTTACATCGGTAGTGATGGGTTAATCCCTTTGCAGATTAGAAATGTGCATGTTTGTCACAAGATAATGAAAAAATACTTCGTAAAAGCGTTCAGTTTCGAGATAAATTTCTTGCTCGTGTAGTCGTTATTTTTGGAGTCTGGGAGTTTGATGCAGATCTTTTTCCGTTCTTCGAGAAGAAAATCAGGAATTAATTGAGGGCTCTGCAGTTGCAACTTTGAACAAACAATTCAAATTAAGTGCTGTTTTGAAAAGTTTTGCCTTCGGGAATTTGGAGTGGTCATGGCTTAAACCTTGATAGCAAAACGTCTACAACGTTCGGTTTGCGTTGTATATATACCTTAGTTTTTGGCTTACTTGAGGGTCTCTTCCTGAGTGAGGTCTTTCTCGCTGACAGTTGTTTGAAACTTTTTATGATAAGTCACCATTTCCTCATGGCGTTTTTGGAGTCTTGTTGTTCAACATCCTGTTCTTTCGATTATGTCGGTTTTTTGATCGGGACATATCCGCTCACGATTCCGACAGCGAAAGCAACAAAAAAGGCAGCCACAACCACGACAATGTGAATTCGTCGCTGCTTTGTTGAACTTTCTGGTTCAAACATTATGAATGAAGCTCTTTACAACCCCGGTGGGGGGGGGTACTTTGGGAATTTCTGGGTGGGGATGAGCCGCTGGGACCTTGGAACCCTTGGTCTATACCAGAGCTAGTTCAGCTGAATTTTGCTGGCCTATACTAGAGTAAACTCCCCAAATCCCCCCATCTATCGACACTGTTGAGGCTGATTTGCGTAAATTTAAACTTGCCGATTTGATGTTTTTATATTTTTGAGTGGCAATTCTTGGTTTCCTTAGTCTAGATAAAATCTTCAACCAACGCAACTGGACGCAAACGCTCTGATTTATATACCCTATCCTAGAGTAAACTGCTTGAGAACCATACCCTTCACAGCGGCACATACCTATATAGCCCATATATGGCATTACCCCCCCCCCCGGGTTTACAACTCACACTGTGCTCGACAAAGGTCTCAAAACGGTCTCTCGGATCTAAGCAACGCCTCTTTCTTAATTTTGACGTCAGACTTCCCAGGGGGTGTACTCCTAACCTCTCATATTAATTATTTGCCTTCGCGGGAAAATACTGTATATGCGAGACACTGAAAAATCAAGATATTTTGCGATAGACGACTTTAATAATTGTTTTATCAGTCAGTTACCAAGTTTGTTTTCACGAGGAAATCACAGTTCAGGGCAGCGATCTGCCATTTTTCATACAAGAGCGTGGTTAGTAGTAAGCATAAGCAGAATATTATTTGCAGCAAAGCACATTTTTACCACAATTAATACCAATCTCGCAATCTGATTGGCTAATTTGCCGTTGTCAATAAGAGTCCAGACAACGCTGCCTGGGTCAATGTGTCACGCAAAGATGCTTTGGCTTGGGTTTTGGCAAAATTTGTTCTTCACTGCGGATGGTCGATTGACTTCTTGTTTAAATTTCATTCAGGCGGCCGGCCATATTTCTTGTTGAGTCACGTAATATATGTGACCGTGAACGGGAAAACGTACCTTGACGCTTATCCGTTAAACGGTCGCTAACGGACGGATAGCTAACGGATAGTTAACGGCCTTCACAGCATTCTAACGTTTTGTCCTAACGTTCTAACATGTAAAAAAACGAATCACAAAGTGCCGATTTCACAAACATTAAAAAAAATTATTTCCACGGTGAGCATTGAAAGCAAACCTCAGTGATATCAAATATCACTTCCTCATCGAGATAGACAAACTCAGAATTCAAGTCCTTTATTATCGTGTGGGACGTGAACCTAACGTCGCTAAATACGTAGGGGCCAAACCACCCCCCAAATGTTTCGTCGGTTCTGGGTATTTCACATTATTTCGCATTACTTGAAAAATATTGACTCTTTCTACACCAAACTTGGCAGATAAGCAGGAGACCAATTGCCAATTATGTTTACATGAAAAATGTCAGTAAATGTCAAAGTTGTGACGTCACAGTGATGACGTCATGTTTTTTTTTTGCCACTTTTGAAGTTTTTAATATGCATATTTTTACAATGTGTTCGAAAGAGCACATCAAGGAGAGTTGAAACCTGAAAAAATTTTGCCGGTCCATATCACAAAAATTAAACTTCCAAATTAAAATAAACTGGAGAACAAAGAAAGCTCATCTGCCGAACTTTGTTCATTAGCCTCTTAGAAAACGGTTTTCCGTGAAGAACTTGAATTGATAACCGATATTCGTGATTTCACCACTCTATTCTACGTTATTTTGAGACGCGAGTCCCCGAATGAGTTAGAGTCGTCTATCGAGAGTGAGTTAGGCATGCGATTTGCAATATGAAGCCTTGACTTAGCCTTTCACGATTTTGCTTTCTTCAAACACTCATTTTAGTGTAAAAGCAGATTATTAAAACGAGTATCTTACTCTCTTATTTTCGTGATTCGGGAAAACGAAATTTTTATATCCGTGATCCGTGATCCTCTATTTTTCCCGTTCGTGAACCGTGCCAAACCACTCCCCCCGCCCCCTGTACGACCCTCATCATTCATGTCTTTACATCTATCTCCACAGTTCCAGTATATGATCTTTTATATATTCCCTTGCATTCTTAACCATACACGGGTATATTACGAACTAACAACGTTGCCCAGTTAGCTTGATAGCTCAGTTGGTACGTAATACAGCACTGCACCGGGTATCGATATCGCAGAGGTCATGGGTTCGATTCTCCGTATAAGCCTGAATATGTTTTCAGGCGTTATTCAGTTCACAACTGCTTAAGTTTTGTACAAAACTGCAACGATTATTTATGACTGAGACTTAATTTGTCAGTTTACCCGAGGCTCTTTTCAAGTCCTTGCTCGCTGACAGTTGTTTGAAACTTCTTATGATAAGTCATCAATTCCTCATGGCGTTTTTGGAGGTCAGCTTTTTGGTCTTGTTGTTCAACATCCTGTTCTTTCGATTCTGCCGGTTTTTTGATCGCAAAATATCCGATCACGATTCCGAGAGCGAAAGCAACAAAAAGGCAACCACAACCACGACAATGTGAATTCGTCACTGCCTTGTTGAACTTTCTGGTTCAAACATTATGAATGAAGCTCTGTACAACTCACGCTATGCCGACTGAGGTCTCCAAACGGTCTCTCGGATCAGTGGGCTACGCCTCCAAGACTCCCGGGGGGGGGGGTGCACCCCTAGAAACTTATGGCTAGGGTTTGCAGCGCGTTTTTTGAAACCCTTATCCTATTTCAGACCAAACTAACATAAAACATGTGAAATCGATGCCCTGTAAACCAGGAATTGCGTCCGCCCTGTAAAATTAAAGTAACTGAGGGCTTCATGAGGAAAATATTACTTTCATCTAAGCATCATACCGTTTTCAGACCAAAACAGCTCGCAAACCCTAGCTTTATGCGTTTCGCATACCTATGTCAGGTTTATTTAAGGGAGGTCAGACAGGATGGAATGCTAAACACATAACTACAATACATCAAAAATTAATCTGATGATTTGATGCTACAAGACTCCAAGTGTAGGATTCTTGGACAGATAGAATGGCGATAGGCTATCAGAGGTTGCTTATTTTGGGATTAACTGTCGTATTAAAAAGAGATTCGTGTTCTTATCTGTTCCAAGATTGACAGGGTCTGGATGAAGCCCAGAATTTTTGCCCATGCTGTTTACTCAGGTGTTTACTAACGGGGAGGTGCATGTGTGCCATAAAAAAGCTATCAGGCTACAACCAGAAACGAGAAAAGTCCAACTGATTAAAGAGTAAGATAGATATTGTTTGACATAAAAATGAAAGACTGGGTTACCTTTTTTCGAGACTACCAAAAGTGACTCAAAAGTACAATAGTTCATATAAACTCTTGGTCTTCAGCCATCGTAACTTGATTAAAAATATAACACAAACAGCGGTGATAAACGGTATAAAAAGCTTTTCAAAACATTTTAACTTTTGCTTTTGAAAATGTATGTTGACTAGCATACGAAACGTCAAGTTCATAAAATGCATGTTTTTAAAATTCTATCACTGCTGTCTGTGTTATAATGGTTCAGTCTCAAAAAAGTCGCCGAAAAATTTCTGATCCTTAAAGAAAAATTAGCCCATCTCTAAGCAAATACCTTAGCCGTCACAGAGCTCTCTGATAAATATCGCTGCTGGTTATCAAGTGTATTTCTTGTTGTCATTGGCAGTCGCAGTAAACAACAAGATAAGTCAATGTTTACTCCATTCATCCTGGAAGAATTGAATAGAAACTTCCAGACACCGGACCCCATGGGCATAAAAATGTCGTTTATTTCCCATGAGGCCATTTCGATGTACTGCTTTGCAACCGCGCCGGCGGTCAGACATTACTTCAGTGCACTGAAGGTTACCTTGTAAATATTGCTACATTTTGAACCTTTTTTCTACTACTTTATTTAATTAGAACGCCTTCAGTCGCCAGCATGATGGACGAGGAGTTGATGTGCGAAAGTCTGATGAAATGGGTAGGCTACTCTGATGGAATCCGAGTCGAATGTCTTCTTTTTGTTTCGTTCTTTTAACTTTTGTTCGTTAATTGGCGATGCCACAATCTTGTGAAGAATTCATAAGTTATTCTTGCGCTCATATTGTGATATTGCCGAGCAGGGTAACCTCCTTCGTGTTTTTCCATTTTAATAGGTCAGTACCTTTGAAGGAATCAAAGCTCCTCATAAAACTGTCGTGGAATTAACTGACGGTGTTGCCCTCTGTGAATGCTTGGCTGAAATGTAAGTGAGCAAGACTAAGTTGGATGAATTTTATTTTTGTGTACTTGTACAATGTCGAAAATACATGTTGGACCTGAATGCCTTCGGTGATATTGTCCACTTCCGATTCTCTTTCATAATAATTGATTTCTTATAATTACTCATAACACTGATTTGTCTGGCTCGTCAGCTTAACTGTGACTACACAACTTTCGTTTGAATGGCTGGTTATAATCCGAGGGTTGTACATATATATAGATGCACCTTGTACAGATTAAAAATAAGCAACAAGGATGTATGTAGCAACATGTAAAGAAAGTCTGGTCTGATAGCTTGGGGCTACTGGATTTGCAATCAGGCTAGTTGATTCTGTGTTTCACTTGCCCATTGGGCAATTTAAGTTTCTTGGGAAACTTTTTGACGAATTTTTATTTACAGAAGTACCATAAGAGTATGACTTGAGTTAGCACATCATAGTCACAGATTGCCTAAAGGGCAATCCTGCAAATTGGTTTTCCTTGCTCCCTAATATAATCACACTCTGCTTGATGACATTCAGTATGACTATTCACACACGAAGGTTTATTACCGTTAATCCTCGAATTAGCGCCTCCCCCTCGAATAAGCATCCCTCCTATTGGCTGAAATTTAAAATAAGCACCCCCCTCAAATAAGCACTCCCTCCCCTCCCCCCATTTTGTGGATGAGTAATGAGACAACAAAGGATGTATAGATTTTGTCGTGTAGTATTAGATTTGTACATTGTTTCAGATGTGAACATGTTAGGTGAACACATTAAGTGAACACGTTGAACACGTTAAGTACTTACTAACAGTACCGTGATTTAAACTTTAGGATCAGCTTTTTAAGTCGATAAACAGCTTATGTTGTTTACGTGCAGAAAAAATGATCATATCAGGCCATGATTTGGTAAAAATTATGTAAGTGCCCCCTTTGAATAAGCACCCCCTGTCTTCTCCTAAATTTAAAATAAGCGCTCCGGGTGCTAATTCGGTATATACAGACTTAAAAGTTAGCACCACCTTGTACAGTATAATAAACAGTACCACACAAAAGTATTTACTGCTCAATAGTTTTCATTTGAGTGCTCTCGTAGTAGGGTTTCAGCCATACACCTAAAAATTTGAACCATCTTGTATGGCATAATAAACAGTACCACATGAAAGTACTGCTCAGTAGCTTTCATTTAAGTGGTCACACACTAGCGTTTCATCTGCACTTTGTACATATACATGCAAATGTAGTACGTGAAAGTTCTGCACTGTAGCTAGCATGCATAAACATAAAAGCTACTAACAATAGCTGTAGCAACAACTTGAAGCAAAAAATAAACAATTACAGCATGTGAAAGTGTCACTCAATAGCTTTTATTTAAATTATTACATACTGGGAAAGAAGGTCTGCAGAGAAGTTGCACCTGGGCGCTTCTAGAGCACAACCCTGTTGCCCAAATTATGTGTACGTGAAGTTTTTGGGAACATTTTTGAGGAGATTAACATTATAGAAGTGTTGTTTGTAAGGGATGAAATGTTTTTGGGGCTATTAATGATAGCTAGCACATGTACATGTACATCATAGTTACATCTTGCCTGAAGGGCAGGCCCTAACGTTTTTTGTTTGTTTGTTTTTGTTTTTTGTTTTTTTGCACCCTGGTTGGAACAAATTGAAATTTAGAAATATTAGTTTTTATGTGGTATTATGTGGGTGAATTATCTGCGGTAAAACCCTTGGTATAAGCTTTGGAACCAACAACAAACTCGGTTCACATTGATGTGAGGCAAACACTGTTACATCATTCTGTACCATCCCTGCATATTGCATTCCTGAATATTGTTCTCCATGGCTCATATGACAGTGATTAACGTGGTTTACATGTAAAACATTGTTAGTAATAAATAATTTATAATATAGAATATTGAATTCTGTTAATTAGTGCTCCAGACTGGTTTGATGATGAGTGGGTTTCAAAAATTAGACATGATACAGGAGATAACAGGAGACTCAAGGTTAGTAAAATTCTCCTTCAGTCTTATGCTAATTGTAGTATGTGGCGTTTGTATTAATCTGTAGCAGAACCATTCAAGAATGGAACTCATTGCCTAGCAATGTTTTAGATATAACAAAAACTTCATTATTTAAGAAAGCACTTTGTTTAGAATAATTAAATTCTAGCTAGGATATCTATTGTATTAATATTAATAATTGTATTTCTTTTTCTTAGTTAACTTCAAATGATGTCACAGTATTTCTTTATTACATATATTATATAAAATTATTTTTAAGTCTTTTATCTCCCCCCTATCTTTTTACTTTCAATGTGTTGCAGTGATGGGCATCTCCCTTTGCAGGACCACCCTAGATGTAGCCTCATGGTTGATATATTTATCTATCTTTATACTCTGGATATTGTATTGTGTTCTAGGTAAACAACCTTAAGAAACTTGTGAAAGGAGTCCATGATTACTATACTGAGGTATGTATGCTAGAAGAATTTATGGATCATGTGTACTTAAAGCATCTGCTGTCAAGTGTTGATCGATACCCTTGACTGACACCCTCGATTGATACTTTCGATCAACCCGTCATCGACAATCAATTGATACTTGATTGACACTCCATCGGCATCTCAATTGACACTCGATCGGCACTCCATCGACCTCCTGGTCGACAGTCAACTAATTTTCGATTGATGCATACGAGTTGGCTAACTATGGACTGACGGTTGATCAAGTTTTGATTGAGTGTCAACTGAGCATCTATTGGGGTGTTGAGTTGGTACACATGATCCAGATTTACCATTTGACTTTTGTGTGGCTGGAAGGATGTCTTATTTCTGTGAGAATATTTCCATCCACTGAAATGCTTGCAAATTGTTAAATGTTTCAGGTGCTGACAATGGATATTTCAGGATTTCCCATGCCTGACGTCAATGCAATAGGTACAGTACATACTGCAATACATGTTCAGAATAAAATATGAATAATTTTTCTTTTTTTGCAAACTTAGTTACAACAGTGTAGTACTAGATATTGCTTGAAGTCTTCTAAAAATATCAGGCACAAAAGATGTGCTGGATGGATGCCCCAATTCCAATAAATACCCAGCTATTCTGATTGAATCACATGTACAACACCATTAGAGTACAATGAGATCAATGGTGGTTTGACATCTTTATCTTTATATCTTTATTACAATTCATGGCATTAAAAATAATTGCATCTGTCCCAAATGTAATTTCATGTGCCAGCAAAATTCTCTCAAATGAAAAATCTCTACTTTATTTTAAGTAGATGCACTCCTTGCAACCACTCTGACTTGTAAACGACCAGATGTAATAGTATTATTATGACCACATTTGTGAAATGCTGTTTGTGCCAGTTGTCACTCAAACTCTGTAATGAAAAGCTTTCATAAGTGACCACTCCCATGAGTGGCCACAACCACTTCAATCAGGAAGTGACCAACTACAGGTCTTACCCTTTGTTTTTATGCTCTCTTAAGGGACCACTCCAAGAGTCTGTTTCTTATATTATGTCATCTGAATAAGTAATTCTGTGAAGTTCTCAATCCTTGTGGATAAGTACGCTGTACAGATGTGAACCTGTAACAGGCAAAATAAAGTGATTTTTAACATCACAGCAACTAGACTATTAACAACTATAGATTTACATTTTGCAAGCTTTGTGCTAATTAGTTTAAAGCTCTAATTTATAAGCGACCAGACTCTATTGTTTCATTGTGTGGCTGCTTACAAGAGCCAGTGACCAGCTCCAGTTACAACCACTTTTT